AGCCTTTTCACTTTACAGCCTTGTACTTTTTCTCCAGAAAAATGCAGTCCCCAAAAGGTGCTTCGCACTCGACTTTGGATCTGTGAATATCCTTACCTTTTATTATTTTATCGTTTTAATTAAATTTTTGTGCCATATGCAAAGAAACGAATATCCTCCCTTTCGATTTAGAATCCCACTTCCTCACTTCCTTTTTTTTTTTTCCCTAAATTTCTTGGCAATTGATGAGTAATTATTTCCCTAAATTCATTTTGCGAAAGTCTTCTGGCTGACGGTCTAAACTTCTCTTCACTGTTGCCAATACCCTCATGGCGTCTTTGGTTAATTTGGACTTTTTGTTAAGAAAAGAATTCGTGAAAGTCATCTTTGGCGTCCCTTGGCTAGTTGGCTTGGAAAATAATTATTCCAAGTCATAGAACAAAATCAGTTATAATTAATGTATAGTTGATTATATATGCCTGAAATTGTTTCTGAAAAAAATTATTGAGAAAAACACTTCCAGATCATGTAATCCAGTAATCGATAATGTTGGTAATATAGTTGCTTATATTATTGACAAGGAACAATAATTATTGTTTCCAAGCAATGTAATTGTTATATTGTACCACTTGGATTTGGGTTGGAGAATTTATTTTCTTGCAGTTACTAGCTCCATATTTTTTTTTATTAATTTTTTAATATTTAAGAGTCATGTTAAACTCAAATTAATTAAAAATTAAATCATATTAGATGTATAAAAGTAAAATTTATTTAAAATTTATTTTTTTCATTCATAAAATTTATTAAAACTAAAATTTTTTTCATTCAAATTAACATATTATTAATAGTAACTCTATTTTATAAGTTTGACGGTTTTAATTTTTTTTTATATATATAAGAAAACTCAAATTATTACTGTAACAAACGAAAAGTTTTATATAATTAATTCAAAACAGTTTTAAATATAGGATTGTACCCCAAGAATTATTGTCTTCTCCCAAAAATACTATTTTACCACCGAGAGGGGCCACGCGCGATAACGAAAACACACAACAAAAAATAAACGAATCCCGACAATGAAAGGATGCTCTTTAAATGCAGTTTTTGATCTTGATGGGCTCAAAATTTTGACATGGGCCCTTGGTCTGTCATCGAGGGATGTGTCTTTCCTCGGCTATGCTAAGTGCTAAGGCCTAGCCGTTTACAGTTTAGGCCCAAATTCATCGAAGGTTCCAAGAATATTTAAGGCCCGCAAAATTTTATTTATTTCTATTTTTTTCAATATAGAAAAATTTTTAAAATGAGAGATATATATAATTCTAAATTTAAATTATAAAATCAGATACGTTTGCTAAGGATTCAATCCTTTAAGTTCTACTTTTGTCACAAAGATATTATTGCTCACTTTTAAAATTATTGGAGTCCATTTGCACCATAACATCTTAAAAATTGAAATGACATCATAATCTTGAGCACAAAACATCCGACTAATATCTCTGATTGATTGATTAGCTTTCACAATAGCTAGCTGAATCCTGACTTAAGCTTGCACGCCTCAAGGCGTAATCACACGATCCACGCATCCAAACGGGCCCTTGGAACTCTGGGTCGAATTTACCCCATGCCTTAACATGAACTTGCAAGCTACGCCTGCTTGACCACATCCCTTCTTTCCTCGTTTACCGGATAAAAAATCCAACTGCTAACTAAAACGACTGCCTGTGACCATAGTCACCAATCAATTTGTAATCCTTCCTACATTTCTACGTCGTGATTGGCGAGTAATTTTCAAGGTCTGTAACGGGCTGTCACCGTGTGGTTTATTACAAATCCACATGTCCTGTTCGAGAGTGACATTAATTCCCGTCATCTTGAAATCAATGTACTTTTGTTGCTTTAAAAATGTGGCTGGAAGGTATAGACCTAACTGCCTAAGAGCGTGAATTGTCGGAGAAAAAGAAGAGAAATAATGGAGAAGCTCTCGGGGCTAAGCCACCTCTTCGCAACTATCTTCCTCCACAACTTCGCCACGTTTATGGTGCTTTCGGCCATCACCGACGTCACAATGGCCGCCCTCTGCCCTGGACAAGACGAGTGCTCTATCGCCATTTATCTCTCCGGATTTCAACAAGCCGTAAGTTATTATATACACAAACCCTTACGTTACGCTAAATCATAGTCTTCTTCAATCCCATTTTTTCTTTTATGAATTCTTCAATCTGTTCTTCCATTTTAAAATTACATAAATATTCCTCCTCCTAGAAGGCTGACTAGTTAGAATCACTTGAGTAAGCTAATTAATGAAGTAATTAGCTGCAATTGGAAAATTAGGCATGTTTCAGTTAGCATTTCATCACGGTATTTCCTTAGTGATAGTATGTGTTTGTTTTTTTTTTTTTTACTTAACAATTAATTATTTCATCAAAATTTTTTATAAGAAATTAATCAAGTTCAATTAAAATCACAAGGATCCAAAACTTTTCAGCTTTTAGCATTGCCTGTTTGTCTGATCCCCATAACGAAATTTCCCTTTGGATTAACCGAACATACATTTTCGGCTGTCCCTAGCCAATACCATATCCGGACAAAAATACCACAGAACTCCACCTACACCTCCGTACGCCCACTGGGCCTCACCCCTAGCCTCCAGCGGCATCAAAGCTCGCCGTTTAGCTGTAATTCTCTGTTTTTACCTCATCCCTGTCACCCTGTAATCATTCTATCCACTGTAGAACTAAAATCAACGTGCATCGATACGATTAAACGCTAGAGCGGAGCGCTACTCACAGGACAAGGCAACAATATCTTCACTGGACAGCACCGCTTCCGCTTTCTCTAAGTTAAACTCATCACACTTTTTCCTTTTTCTCTTGATTACTTTAAGAATTGGTCGTGCCCCCCAAGAGGTGCTTCTTTAATCTTTATTCATTATTACTTTTTGTTTTTGGGTGGTCAAGAGGTGCCTGCTTTTGCTTTAATTTGTCCTATTATTATTTGCTTCGGTTCTGGATAAGATAAAGATATATAGAGGGACTAAGAAATAGAGAAAAGGAAGCAAAGAAAAATGGGAAAGCTATCGTCTTTGAGCCACCTATACTTCTCAATTTTTCTCCATAACTTCTCGATGTTCATGGTGATTCCAGTCATCCCTGATGTTACCATGTCTGCTCTTTGCCCCGGAAAACCCCAGTGCGCACTAGCAATTCATCTCACTGGATTTCAACAAGCGGTACTATAGCTCCTTTGCTTCTTTTTTTTTTCTTATTGTATGCCTCTGTTCTTAACTTTCCATATCAAACGCACCCGTTCTTACAAAATTAGTTATTAGTTTTATTTAGTTATGGTAGTTGAAGTTTCGAAATTTTGAAAAAAAAAAAAAAATGTAACGAGGGATGTTCATTCAGGCAAAATTGCAGGGATTGCAGCTTTTGAGTCTTACATGTAGACAAGGGTACTCTATCTTGTGTCTGTTTTGTAGGAATGAAACTTCCCTTCGGTTTCTGCGAAAGAAAACGTTAATTTGTTCCTAACTTCCTGCAATAATGTATGTTTCGCAAATAGACAAACTACGAGGACCCACTCACGGTCACACTCTACATCTCATTCAGCAGTGCAGACGTTATAACATGATTCTTTTTGGGTTTTTTCTTCGTAGCGCTTCCTTTTTCTGTGGATATTGAAAGAAACTGTACACTTTTCTAAACTAGCCAGGACCAAACTGCACGCTTGACACTTGTCTTAATACCAAAAATTTTATTGTCTATGCAAATTTAACGTTATTTTTTTGTAAATAATATAAGGGAAATCATGTGATGATCAATGCAGATCACAGGATTGGGATCGCTTGTGGTGATGCCTTTGATGGGTAATCTCTCAGACAAGTATGGAAGGAAGGCTTTGCTCACTGTACCAATGACTCTCACCATAATTCCTCTAGGTATGCATGACTTTTTTCATAATTAATTTCCATAGTCTATATAACCCATCAAATTAAATAAACTCTCTCTCCTTGACTATGATTGAAGCCATCATTCAATTTGTTAAGGTTATTAATAATTGTCAATTTTTTATCTTAATTTGATTATTAAAATAGTTAATAAATGATAAAATAATTAATATTTATCATTTAACAAATTGAAATTAATTTATAAATAAATAATTTCAAATATCATACTAATTATTAAAAAAATTATAAATTAATAAAATTATAGATAAATTAATTACCTTAACAATTAAATGGTGTGAATAACCAATCCCCTTCTCCTCTTTCTTTCTTTCTTTCTTTCTTTCTTTCTTTCTTTTTTTTTTTTTTCTTTTTCTCTTGTGGCCTGCTGCGCTCAAGTACCGAAGGGAGAATCTTCTAACTACACCCAGAACTGAAAGAATATACAAACATGAAGCAACAAACTAAATGGCTGTTTCACTTAGAGGCTGGAGGATTCTAGGAGTAGTTTCTACTCCATCTAACTAATAATAAAGAAATAACTTAGGAATATAAATCACATTGAAAATGACAGTAGCTTTATTATTTCTTTTAAAGTGGGTTTACCCTGCATGCACATTTTTTTTTTAAAGTTTATTACAACCTTTAATTATATATTAATATTACAAACTGAATAATGAAGTCCCAATAAAAAAAAAAAGGAAGGAATAAAGCAACAAAGCATCAACAAGCAATCCCTTCTCCTTTGTCCCTTCCCCCAGTTGAAAATGAACACCTGGATAACACAAAATTCCCCTTAACTATTAATTATTAGTAACAGGCTTAGAAAAAATGTTCTTTTAATTGATCACATCACTATAATTAATGGGTTTCGGGACCTACCAAAACTATGGTGCAACAATCCTTTCAGCAGGTGAAAGTTCCATATTCTAGAAGGCAGTACTAGTGATATTGCAATAGTCACGATCTATGACATAGCATCTATCAAAGAAAAAGTTTATAGTTTTTAAATAAATACGAGCATGAGTTATATAATAAGAAATAGTGTCATTTTTTCAAAAAAAAAAAAATCTATCCACTGGTTCTAAATTTCAAAATTAAGATGCATAGAAGGTTTACCTGAAAATTACTCCTTTTTTCATTTTTTTCTCAGCTATATTGGCTTGCAGCAGAACGAAGAGCTTCTTCTATGCCTACTACGCGCTCAAGACTCTCACAGCCATCTTTTGTGAAGGCAGCGTCCATTGCCTCGCCCTTGCTTATGTGGTAAGAGGTCCAATTAACAAGATAAAGCCCAAAAGACTGGGCGACGTCTGTTTAAGCCCGTTTTCCTCTTTAAGACCCACTTGTGAAATTAACGGGCTCGGTTAAGCCCATTAAGATGGTTAACCAACCGACCCGACCTCTTAACGTTTTCCCTCCTTCCTCTCTACAATTCCGGTGAAGTTTGTATTGATTTCAGGCGGACAATGTTCCAGAGGGCCGACGAGCGTCGGCGTTCGGAATTCTATCCGGAATCGGATCCTGTGCCTTCGTCTGCGGAAACCTTTCCACTCGCTTTCTCTCTACTTCTTCCACTTTCCAGGTCTTTCCCTCAAATTCTTGCTCTCTATTATCTTGTGAATTAATTTAAGAAGTATTTATAGAGTTAAATCCTGTTCTTGTTTTAGGTTTCGGCGTCAATGGCGATTGCGTCGACCGTTTACATGACAGTTTTTCTCCCCGATTCAATCATAGATGAAAATCTTTCTATTCCGATCATGTCAACGGCGAAAGTCGAGAGTATTACCGGTTCAGATGATGGTTCAGCTAAGAAGCAGCAGGTGTTCAAAACATTGCCCTCGATAGAGGATATAATTGCCTTGTTAAAGAGCAGGTCAGTGAAATTCCCTTCTATTTCTAGTGTGATTGTGCCTTTGTTTTGTTATTTGATTATGGTTTTATCTAGCCTTTTGTAGTTTTTTGAACTAAAACAAAATTGTTTTAAGTATTGAAATAAGGAATTATTTTGAGAATGCATATTGCAATTCTGAAGATCTGGATTTTCTGAAATGAGAACTTACAGTTTTTGACTGGATGGGTATGAAATTGCAGCTTGACATTTACACAAGCAGCAATTGTTTCATTTTTCATCAATCTGGCAGAAGTGGGTCTCCATGCTTCATTACTGGTACCTCTCTTTTTCTGTATGCTATATTGGCTTAGATGAATTATAGCTTTTTTGTGAGTGAAGTAATTCAGATTTCAGAATTGCATGTGAGAAAATGAATCAATGATATCCGTAAATTTCCTTGCAGTACTATTTAAAGGCCAGGTTTCATTTCAACAAAGATCAGTTTGCCGATTTAATGGTGATTTCTGGCATTGCAGGGACTATATCCCAGGTACTTCAGTGACATTTCTATCCCATATGTCCTTTATTTTGCAAGATATTTGCTTTCCTATATAAAATTGAAGTAATCATGCAGATGCTTATCATGCCCATGTTGGCTCCCGCTATAGGAGAAGACAAATTACTCTCAATAGGGCTCTTCTTTGCCAGTGTACATGTAAGCAGCACACTTCTTTTATTAGATATGTTCTTTTGTTAGTCATTCTCACATGGATTTTTATAATATCAATCCTTTAATTTAATAATTTATGTGCTTGAATGTAGATGTTGCTCTACAGTATTGCATGGTCCTTCTGGGTAACTATCTGCAATAACTTGCGGTTGTAACTATCTTTTATTGCCTATATGTTTTGCCTTCTTACGGATAGTGTTCTTGTGAAATGGTAGGTTCCTTATGTAGCTGCTATGTTATCCGTATTCTTTGTTCTTTCACAACCATGTGTAAGTTTCTAACTTCACTTCTTGTCACTGTCTTTAGAACTTGTTCTAACATGATACTTTTATATGGTGTTTCTTCTAAAATGCACAGATAAGGAGCATTGTGTCCAGACAAGTTGGCTCTTATGAACAGGTATGTGTTGTTGATCAACCTCTTTGTTGCAGCACACTAGAATTGGTCTGCGATCTTTTATTTTCTCATGGTTCAGCAAGATGGTGCTCAAGACTTTTCAATTCTCAAATAATCTTCCTCTGTTCTACCAGACAAAACCTGTTTCATTCTGTTCATTTTTCAGGGAAAAGCTCAAGGAGTCATTACAGGCATCGGTTCCTTAGCAAATGTTATTTCTCCTTTGGTTTTCTCCCCCTTGACAGGTAACTACCAGCCCAATTCTGTAAATTGTGATGCCAAATGTGAATTGAGACTGACATGATAATTGACTTTTCCAGCTCTGTTCCTGTCTGAAAGAGCACCCTTTAGTTTTCCTGGTTTCAGTATTATGTGCATTGCATTTGCTTCAGTAAGTGCTTTTGTAGTTTGCAATTTTGTCTGTGCTTTCATTACCTTACCCCGTTTCTTTAGGACTATAGTCTTTGCTTTTCTTGTAGCTTTGGTTGCTAATAGAAATCTTCCATGTAGATGATAGCATTTGTGCAAAGTTTGATCATAAGGTTGGCTCCTCAAATTTCAGAACAGAGAGCTGGCAACCGCAACTGCGTGGAACCCTAGTTAGGACTGTGAATTCTAAATCTTTCTAGACAATGTCGCTACTTCCCAGATCTCCATTAATACAGCATATTAGCCACAAACAAGAAAACCACAAGTAGAACTTCAATCGCCGCTAGTACCAACCTTTAAATTTTTGTTCACGGCAGGAAACAATATTGACCTTGTTTTCACTTTTGGCTGATGCCGTGTATAATTCATGGTCTCTGTTTTGAATTAGATGGAAAGACACATGTTGGTCACCTTGTAATGATGGTATTCTGCGGAGAAACAGCATTTGAGAAGCAGACTCCATTGAAATTATTGTTACAATTTGAACTTTGAGGTTCACCCTTCTGAAATTCGTGTTGTGACCTTTACCATTAATTTTTGCCTTCCTTCTATCACTCTAGAGAAATCCCATCTCCATTCTTCTTCTTCTTCATCCTCCTCTTTCCGTGAGCAAGAGTAGAAAAATAATTGTATATCATACAGGAAACAGGATTACTTAGATGTTATTTCAAGGAAAATTTATGAATGGGCATAGAGATCACAACAAATTCTACGCAAATGAAAAATACAAAAGCATCACATTGGTTTGATTCATCTTATACAGTCTCATCCTCAGTACTTAATAGACTCAACTAATTAACACCCAAAAAAGATAGAAGATTTTGAGATGCTGAAGAAATAGAAACATGAGATGAACTCAATACACAAAGTGAACTTAATTGACAGTCACTTTTCCAACCATACCAGCTCCCTGGTGAGGGGAACAGTAGAAAGTGTATGTTCCTTTCGCGGTCAAGGTAACAGCATAAGTCTCCCCTGGAGCATTGAGGAGGTCCTCTTCGGGCATAGAGATTTTGGAGGCATCGACGCCGCCTGGGATCTCGTCTTCATCGAAAACCACATTGTGCGGGAACCCGGCATTGTTTTTGAACACAATTTTCTCCCCGGAAGCCACGGAGAAGCTGTTGGGAACAAAAGCCAGTGACCCATCATCGCCACCGAGCAAGACTTCGACGGCCATAGCATTGCTGGCGAGGATTGCGCTGGCGGCAGTGGCTGCGACTGCAACTCCAACGTCCTTGAGTGAGGCCTTGACGCTGAATTTGGAGGATGGAGTGGCTGCAACCTTAACGTTGGAGCTGACTTTGGCAGGGGTTGCACCGGCCTTGAGGCCAGTGAAAGATGGGATAGCAACGGCAGAGGAGGTGACAGCGGCCATTTGTTGAATCGTTGTTTGCGAATTGAAGGAAAATCAACAGGGGAAGTAAGAGAGTTGCGATTTTTATGAAGGTGAAGTTCTTTTTGTGTGGTTCGGAATGGACGAGGAACGTGTGATTATCAGATAAATGATGAGAAGGTGAATGAGCGGGAGCAATGGGTTATCTCCTGAGATTTATTCTAATTGGCTGAGATGGATCCTATCCCGGACGTGGCATGGGCCCTCTAATGTGAGGTGGAAAACATGGGAAGTTCTAGATCTTGATTCTAGTGGAAGAGGATTAGTCGAATAGGGGCGTAAACGATCAGATATTTTGGTGCCGCAGCCGCTGTATGTGGTGCACATCTGATCTTTGTGTCGTGCGGTTTCGTGACGTTATTTGATTCATTCCTAGATAATTGTCAAATTTAGCTGCCTAATTTTTCAATTTCAATGTCTATAGATGAACCAGACCCACCAATTCTTGATTTTGCTTATGCTGCATAGTTTTGAATGTAAACTTTTTTAAAAGCAAAGGTTTGAATAGTGCTAATAGAACATTTTGTGCTCCTTTTGTTTTCTGAGAATATCAACAAAATCCGATCAAGTTTCCAAGATAAAACTACAAGATGTTTGCACTCAGAACAACCAATGTTATGTCTGTAAGATTAACATCAACCTCAAGCTACCATCAGTGAGTTAAATAATAGCCATGGAATGTGGTATGCATGCTCCAAGTTAACCATGGGTGACTAACAAGGAAAGAAAACCCAAATTAAAGACATATACGGCCTGTTTGGTTCAGCTGATCAGCTATTTTCTAACAACTAAATCAAACATGATCATAGTCTCTAGAATTTGAAAATTTCAAGTGCAAAACAAGATTAAAAGTGTATGGGACAACAAAACAAAGTAAAGATTCATAGATTATTAAAAAGAGGGGATCAATTCTATGTTTTCCATTAAATGATAATTTAAGCCTGCAATACAATGTTTAGCTAAGAAGAACCAAATGACTTATTAGCTGCAAAACCTACATTACACAAGATAAACCAATAACTACAAAGTGTATATACAAGGAGTGAATCAGTTTCCCAGATATGAAAATGAATATATACAGTGCCAGGTGATTGCTTATCTCTTTCACATGGGAAACTCCTTACCATCATCATCATTCTCCTCAAAGAACTTGAACCCAACATTCCAATTCGGATCACCTCTGTAATTGAAGGTCGGGGTCACATAGCATTTCATCTCATGAAACAGGTTTAAATTATCCACAAGCTTGTGAAATATATTGCATCCACAGCACTGCATCATATATAATTGCATCCACAACTCAAAGTCATGCAATGAAACCAAAAGATGTGACTTTAGAACATCGAAATTCAATTTCCTCTTCCTATTTCAACCTTTAATTTCTTGTAGCCATCATCAGAAAGAGCTAGAAAATTACCTGGACGAATACAGTGCCGTCTGTATAGGCGTGCGGATTAATGGCACGAGTGGTCCTTTGACCGCAAACGTTGCAAGTAAAGGCGACGCGCATGCGTCTGCGCGGCGACTTGGTGAAGAGAGACCACGGTAAGGTAGAGATCCTCTCCGTATTAGAACCGTCATCCACTCCAGCGGGCACGGACGGCCCCTCCATCCCTGAACCCGTCGTCCAGCCTCTCACCGACGCCGCGCTAAGAACCAACCCCATAGCATCATCCTAATTAAACCAAAAATTTAAAAATAAAAAATAAAAAATCACAAAACAGCCTCAAAATAGAACCCAAAAAATTTATAAACAAAAAAAAAAAAACCTTCGAGAAAGTTCTATTGCCGTAGAAAGGGACGATGCTGGAGCTGTTGGAATCAGATTGAAGATCGGAATCGTCGCCGCTCTCTGGAATAAAGTAGAGAATCATGTCAAATTAACAACCAAAGGAGAAATGAAAAAAGGGAAATCAGATTACAAATCGTAAAAGGAAACGTGTATGCAACTTTTGGAGGAGGTGTGGAAACGGAGGACTTTTGCTTGCGCGTCTTTTAGCTTGGGAGAGAACAAGGATCGAGATGAAGAGATGATGGTCGCGACGGAGCTCAGGGTTTCCATGGCAACCGACTGCAAATTATCGAGAGATGTAGGAATCACAGCTTTTCCTGCTCTCGCCGGAGCTCAGGCCTCAGGGTTCGATTTTTGTCGAAGAGCAAGAGTTGTTGATTCGCCTTGCTTGAGGTTGAATCTCAGGACACGAATTCAGTTCTGGTTTCTACTTTGGCATGGCCCATAACCAGCCAGGGTCTGCAAATTTTGGACCAGGCCCACAGTTCTAAACATGAATCTGAAGGTAGAATGGATAATTATTAATTCAGATGTCATGGCCCATAAACTGCTCCCCAATTATCATTTAGTGAAGCCTTGGGCCTGCTTTGGACTCTAAGGAGGTGCTTCTGTTGGGGAAGTGTCACCTAAACTTTTTCCCTCCAAAATTATTTATATATTTTTATGTATCAATTTTATAATAAAAAGATAAAAGTGATATTAATACAATTCTTAACTTGTAAAATTTTCTTTTCACACATTATGAAAGAAAAAAATTTCCCCCACTTTTTTTTTTTATATAGGATTCACTTGATAACTTTTTTTTATCAATTTTTTTACACTAATTTCTTACTAAATACAAAAAATAATAACAATCTAACAAAATTCTAACAAAATTTCACAACAAAACTTATTAACTTTCTACTAAAATTAGTTATCAAGCCACATACCCTCTAATTTTGACTAAAACCCACTTATGTTTTGATGAACCTGAGAATAGACTGAAAATAAATTAAACCCCCAATTTGATTCCTCAACAATTATATAGACTTTTGAGTTGGTCTTTAAAATAAAAAAAATTTCAGATTTGATACCTAAAGTTTTTAAATTTAGTTTTAAGTTGGTCACTTCATTTGAAAATAATTAATGTGTTTATTACTTAACGGTAAAAGACTGTTACTTGATAGCCATGTGTCATATTAATGATATCACATGTCAATTATTTTTTAACAAAAGGACTAATTTAGAATCAAGTTTAAAAATTTTTTAAATCAAATTAAAGATTTTTTTAGTTTAAGGACTAACTCAGAGGTCTATATAATAATGAAGGGATCAAGTTAGGGTTTAACCATTGAAAATAACAATTACGTACCGTACGTAGTTACCTTGGCGTAGAAACAACAATTTTAAAAAGGCAAAGAGGCTGCATTCCCATACTCTATGTATCGGCAGTCACAGAGACTTCACTTTTTGGTCAATGCATCAATTTGAATTAATTGCAATCACGTTAAAGGAAGCAACAAAATGTTTGTCCCACACTCCCAAAAGACCTTCCCTCCCATTAATGAACTTTTGAGTATTCAATAGCATTAAAGTGTTAAAAAATTTGTTGTCCATATTCATCAGATCCTCAAATATCAAGATAAAAGTTACCTAATCCAAGGTGATTGAGTAACAACTTTGCTAAACGTAAACGACTGGAGACTAGAAAGTATTAGATTATTGGGCATTTTGAGTTTGAGCATGTATCAATTTTGAAAGAGTTAAACCCTAAATTTTTACCAAAAATTTTGAAGATTCGACATTGAGGTATTCGCCAAACTCGAAGTCAACTCATACACTCATTTAGTTGTAATGAGTACTTCCTAATTACTTAATTAGTGAACTTAAGCCCGAAAGATGTTTATTGTGTTATTGGTTAATTTGTTTACACATGATAATTGCAACAATGAAAATATTAAATTATAATTATTAAATATATGAGACATAATATAAATTTTATTTTATTATATTTATTAGGCTATTGTGAGATATTATGACATAATAGCAAAACATTTGAATTTTCTCTTTTCTATTTCCCATCCATATATATTCTATTTTTTTTTTTTTTAAAAAAATTAATTGGTTGCTCAACAGCACATAATTAAAGTACTTACGTGCTCAAACTTAATATCAATGGACCATTGAACCCAAAATCAAATAATTCAATTAGTTTGTAAAATGAAAACAAGTTGAGTTTAACTCAAGTATATAACTTAGAAGTTACTGAACTTACCAATTATTTAGTAAATTACTGAATCTTAATCGGTTTGCCTACCCTGTACTTAAAGTGCAAAAATTAAACTTTATTTATTTAGGTATTTTTAATTAATTTTACATAAATTTATATAACAAATTTATATTTTTTTCATAAATTTTAATTATAAATATTATATTTTATTTAGATTTTACATTTTATATTTTATTTTAATTAAATTTAATATAAAAATTTATACAAAATTTATTATAAATGCTACAATCAATTACACTTAAGTTGAGAAGTATCGTCTCCAGGAAAAACATCGACTTTTCACTTTGGCGCAGCAAGTGAAATGATTTCGAAAACATCTTATTTTTCTTGATAAATGTCATAATACACGGCAGCATTGAATAGTCGTTTGTGATGCCGACTTCTGCATGTCTGACGCGATTGGCAATTTGTCCTCAAAGTAAGTTATATGCAGATATAAAGCTTTTTCAAATCTATTTTTGAAAAATAAAGTTAGCTTTCCAAGTCGTTTTGCTCCTTGTTTGGTACATTTCGACTCTTCAATTTCTCCCAACCCGTGGAAGCTGTATAGGCTTTGCTTCCACTTTAGATGCATGGTCTCCACCCCAAACCATGACTATAATTTAATCGTAAAATAAGCATACAAGTTTTTTTTTTTTTAAATCAAACTGCAATTTGTTTCGTTTAATTTAGAGTTTGAAAATACCAACATACACTTCATAAATAGGTGAGGATAGTATATAATTAATGATATATAAGTACTTTCATTAAATTTTTTTTTTTAATATTGATATATGGGACGGAATTAATTGAGGAAATGAAATCTTTAATCTCTAAAAGCGGAATGAGGGAGCAAAAGAGCTGGGAATGGGGATCATGAGAGACCAGTAGAATAGGAAGAGAGCATGAGCATGCATGAACATGGCAGGGAAAATTAATGAGGGAATCTTTGTCTGACTGCCAAAGTGGTAGCAGGCACCCTTGCCCATGTAAATAAATATCTACAGATTCTCTTCTTTTCACCACCTATCTAATTTACTCTTCTTATTTAAGATTGCCCAACGCTCCCTGCTTCGCTTATTTACTCTCCTCAACTAACTTTCCCTTTAGGCTACGAAATTTCTTTTACCTTTTTTTTTTTTTTT